ATAGAGATCATAAACACCAGTGGTAATGTGAAAAAATTATGATGTGACAACATGTGGGAAAGATTCGTAGAAAATTACTACTTCTGGTCTTCATACTTCTTAGATCATATTCAGGCAATGCTTAATAATTATGGGTGTCTCATTCAGCACTGATTATGATTATTTTATGTTCTTTTAAAGATTAAGTTTCATCTGCAACAAAACAACAACAACAACAACAACAACAAAAAAAAAGATTTTAAAAGTTGTTTTTAGGTCACTTTATATATTTAGTTTTAATTTACACTCACAAAAAAATTAGGCTAAACTCATTTGCTTTGGCATAGAGAAAAAAAGGTAGGGGAAGCAACGATTTTGAGCAGAGCATAAATATATAATAATATTTGGGCATAAATATATCATAATAAATGCCTTTTATTAATTATTGTAATGCCGCAAATATTCGTGAAAATTATCAACTAGATATATTACAAATTACATGTATTTTTATTAAATCAATAAACTATATTGATAACAAAATTAAGATTATAATCATTATGACTGTGTTTACTAATTTTAAATCATTCCATTAGTTGAACATTTAAAGACTCGTTAAATATGAAAAAAACGTATATGAAACATGTTATGCTTAGCTAAATGGGTCCGCTTTGAGAAACTAGTGATAAAGCCATATCAGAAATAAATGAAGACAATTGAAATATAATAATTAAAAATAATTATTGATTTGCATAATGGATTTAAGACAAAAACACTGAAATAGAGGTATGATATATCCACTTATTAATCCTCTGTATTCATAAACTTCTCAATTATACATTAGCAAAAATAAAAGAATGAATAAATAAGTAACAAATCAGTTTATACTCAATTTTATTTTAAATACATTACGTAAATAATAAACTATGAAAAAAAGATAAAACAAAACTTAACAATGTAAATCTGGTTCAATAGTTACAAAAGCGCTCAGTATTTGACAGCATTTTCTTATGTAACAATTTGCATTTTTAAACTTTACCCCCCTCCAAGAAAAAAAAAACTTTCACTTCTTAATTTGCAAAATATTAAATCTAAAATTAATCTCGTTTTCTTGGGGGGGGGGACGAATAGATATACTGAACTGTCTGCTCTTAAATGAATCAGACAAAGTATTGTACAATCAAAAACAAAAACAAACCACTTTTGGAACAATTTCAACACTCATTTACCACTTGGAACCATTACAACACTGATTTGTGACACAACACCAATTTCTCAGACAAGAAAATAAAAAGGGAGTACACATGTTATAAAATGTGGTAATTCATTTAAAGAAAGCTATTTCATAATCTGAAACAAACCTAAGTGATTAATGTGAAAAATTGTGAGACACTGAATAGATAGTCCTTGCATGATTTGTTGTACTCAGTTGAATAAACAAGCAAACAAATCCACATTGAATTAATGATTACCTTTTTTGTTCACCTTTTTTTTCTGAAACATTTTTGTTGTTATAATAAGAACTGGAACTGTCATCCAGAAAGTTCTGCAGCTCTTTAAATCAAATTTCTTAAACTTTTTTCCAGTCACAACCCCTTTTTATCACTAAGATTCTTTCGCGACCCCCCCGGGGACCCCATACAATTTACGAAAATTTTGTGGGACCCCATAAGCATTACACAAATATACGACACACGTGTGTGGGAAACTGTCAATTTTTTCACTTGTACTGTAATATACTATTGCAGTTTTAGGTCATTTCTAATTTTGAGACATAGAACAATGTGAAAATTTTAAATAAGTAACAGACGAACTGACAGCGTCACATGCAAAGCAAGTAAAATGAACATTTCTATTACAAAAAGAATGTGTTGAAACATTTTCCTTTTTTCTTTGTTTGTATTGTCTTATCTTTATCTATTTTCAGATTGTTGTGCAAAAATATTTAGCAATTCTAAAATTATTATAAGTTAAAGAAATATCAAACAAATATTTTGGCGATCCCCTGCTGCAGGTCCCGTGAGCCCCGACCCACAGTTTAAAAAATGCTGCTTTAAATGAAAGGCATTTTCTTCCAATTATTTTATTGTAGCTGATGTGTAAATAAGGCAGCAGATGTGTAAATTGAAGCAGACACATAAAGAAGGTGTTTTCTACTCAGGCTGCATAATGTTAGCATACGTTGGGTCATAAGTTTTGCTTTAGTGCAGTGCTAAGTATGCACAACCCCAAAACTCATTCTCACTGTGTTATCCTCTTTCATGTTAACAGAGGGGGAAAAAAATGCTAACCACATTACTTGTAAAATTTGCATGGTTTATCGACAAAGTGTTGTTTCTGATGGCAGTTTGAAGGTAATTTGAGAAATTTAAGAGTGTAAATTTCAGAGACTAGACAGTACCTGCTTTGGACTACCATTCTTCATAAACAAGAACCTTTCTCTGAAAATCCATGCTATGCAGTTCAAGAATTATGATACAGATGTATAGCACACGACCATTTGAAGAAAATTGGGTATGTAAGCTGCTTTGATGTATAAGTACTCCATAATTTAAAAAAAACAAAATATGCTTTCTAGACTTCCGGCACGTGATTCTTAGCTGAAACAAAATAAAGAAGCTCCTTTTCAGAAGCAGGTCATTACTGGATATGAAAAGTGGATATTATGCAACAATGTTACAAGAATATAGGGTAAGCTAAATGAACTTTCCCTTGGTATCACTGGGATAGTGGCTACAACCCACAAAAAGTAATGCTTTGCATATGGTGGGATTACAAAGGAACTGTATGCAGTACAAAGTCTGAGACCCGGAATCGTCAGGACTTGGGGAATTCCAAAATTTAATACATTAGTTTTAATGTAGTAAGATGATAGGCAGATATGGCAATATTTAAGTCAGATGGGAAAATGTTAACCCTTCACAACCACTCAAGGGCCAAAAATGTTTTCCTGGCCAACATCAATATATAATGTCAATCAATGTATTGTCCACAGACACTCCCTAGCCTGTAGAAGTTTAAAAGTGACAGCATTAAAAGTAAAATTGGCATTTACAGCACAACTCCCTTAGTCCAGAATTATATTCCTCATTACCCAGACTTTGTAAGAACACATTTTTTTCTATTACTTTATTTATTTATGTTTTTATTTTATTTATCTATCTTTTGGCTAGCCTTTTGGCCAGAGGCTATCTTTTGGCCAGAGGTATTTATTAGATCATTTCTTAGAATGGATGCATGGATTTTGGTCTTTGTACCGTACTATGAACTGTTGATACCAAATTAAGCAATGCATTCAGAAAAATACCGTTCCCAAATGGCAATTTTACGAGCAGAAATCAAAGCAAAAGTGATCACGACTGGCCAATAGTAGAAGTGTTGTCTTTTACTAAATGTTGCCAGACAGCACCTCGATAACTTCTTTATAAATAAACTTAGTGAATTTTAAAAAAAGAAGTTTTGAGCTGCCAGGCTGGCAAAAAGTAACAGAGCAAAACGGAGCTCATGTGATTCAATGAAATTTTCTTGTTTTTGTAATGCTCATTTACCAAAATGCTACAGAACTTTCGGGATGACCCCAAAAATCTTTGATTTATGTAGTGTTTTAGTTTAAAAGCAAAACCACACATTTTTGTGTTCACTGTATTGTATATTTTAGTCAAGTTAGAAAGCAGTCATTTAGCTAATGCTATTTAATTATCAATATCAATGCTTGTTTATATTATCAGAAGTACTGATCATTTTCAGAGATGGTTGCGTACATAACACAGTTACTAAGCGAGGTTCACTGTATTTACATTGATTTGAAAATTAAAATTAACAGATATTTTCCATTTTGACGCCTATGAATACTTTACATCTAAAGTATTTAGAACAAAATATATTTTAAGTTACAGAATTCAAATTTGAAATAATGTGAATTAGAATTAAACAACTTAAATTTTCACAAAGTGATATCAGTAAACACTGAACTTCAGTACTAAATGAAATGTAAATTTTCTGTATGTATGCTTAAGAATGACATATTTTGATGTTTTACTCACAAGAAGTTATAAAATATACAAGAAGTTATATAATAACTTTATGTAAGATCTGTATCTTCTCTATTTTTCTTTTTAAATTTCACTCTTTGGTCAGTTCCTGAATGCAGAATTTTAAATTTCACAAATAATATTTATCACTCAATTCTTCTTGATGAGAAGTTTCATTTACTAAACTTAATAGATATGGATACACAGTTACAGTCAAAAGTCGTTAATCCGGACTCGTCGGGACTTCGGCGATTCCGGATTATCGATTTTTCCGGATTATAGATCATCAGTTTAAATCTCGTAAGATGGCATGCAGAAATTCTAAAATTAAAAATATGAAACTGTAATTTATGAAATAAAGAACAATTATGATCTAAAGAATATCAAAATTTACAAAAAAAAAAAAAAAAAACTTAATATTTATTTGTTTACTTTATTAAACATTTCTTCTCAATGTAAGTTGTTTAAGTTGCTTCATTTTATGTGATAATACTTTCTCTTTAATTCTATAAAAAGACATAATTTTCTTGTTCAGTTACAAAGTTCCGCTGTTCAAGTCCCGTTAATTGCTGTGCCGAGAATACTAACTTGTCAATCGAAATTTTTTCGTTTTCACTAACCTCTCTGTCACATTCTTCATGTCTTTATCCATTTTTGCAGCAATTCCACTTTTTGTTTGTTGGACATCGAAACATACTTTCATTTTGTAGATCCTTTGGAAGTTCCAGCATCGGAAATTCTATTTGACATAATCGAAAGTTCAAGTTTACTTTTATAAAATTGCTCTTACAGTCTGCAAAAAATAATAAGCGGGATCCAATTCGAAGATTAAGGAACAACGCAATCATTAACATTAACTGAAATAGATAATTTTAGCTTACACCGTCCGTTATACATTAAACGCGCAGGCGAAAACGTATTCTGCACTTGCGCACACGCATATGCGCAGTAGTCAAGGTCATACGCGCACGCGTAAAACGCCTGTGCGCATGTGCCAACGCGGCGCATGCGCAGAAAGTTCTTAGCTTTCAGGTCCGGATTATAGATCATTCCGGATTATGGGTGTCCGAATTAACGACTTTTGACTGTATCTCAATTATTAACATTGTTTTCCTTACATTATTAAGTAAAGATTAACTCACCAGTAAGCTCATGGCTTGGAAGTTATGATTTTTAAATAATTGACAACAGAAAGGTACTAATTCAGTTATCCATGAAAACAACAATTCACTAAAAGGCATTTGTAAACATTATGCACAAAACAAATAAAATGTAAAAGGATTTTAAAATGGTAATGAGATCACGTACTTTAAAATGTAAAGTTGTGACTACATGTTTACACAAAGAAAGCAAAATTTTCATTTAAGACTAATTTTATTTATGAAGAAATTAAAATTTACCATTTCAGATGTTAACTGTTAAGTAACACCTACCAAAGAGGCTTGTGCCTTCTTTTATAAAAAATTAATACCCTAGAATAACCTATTAAAATTTCAAAACGGAATTAAATTTTTCATTTTTATGCATTTAATATGCCAAAATTAATCAATCATACATAAAAATTAGTTTTTAAGAAGACAATAATTCGTATCTTTATCATGAATCTAAATTTAAAATGCATTTATCTACCTCAAAAATCATAAAGAACATGGCACATAAAATTCCATATTTTACAAAATGCACGAAATTTAAAAAACTGAGTAATAGCATACATATTTGCTCTATTAATCTAGAATACTTCAATTAAAAATAAGTTTCAAGAAATCTCACAAGACTTCAAAATTAAACTGCAGATTTACCATTATATAATAGAATAAACTGTCTTGTCACAAAAATACACTAAACATAGCACACAAAACCTGAAATTTTTATGGTGTAGGAGCTAATAACTGTGCATAAGAAGGTTGTGAAATATCCTGGCATACAACATCACCTACTCTTATATAACTACAAGAACTAGTAGCCTCAGGTGTACTTTTGCTATTTAATTCCCTTCTTGGCAATAAAAACAATACAGATAAGGCAATTGTAACATGCCAAGCACTGTGCACAAATGGGTAATTATCTTTAGTTTCAAAGAAAGCATAAATTATAAGTCCTGATAAAGCCAGCAATGCTCCAGGAAGAAGAAAGAAAAGCCACACTCTATGAGTTGGATAACAAACATGTTTTTTCCGACACTGATTAGCCTGAAAAAAATAATAATCAAGGTTTGTTAATCATATAAATAAAAAGTGCACTGTAAGACAGCTATAGTGAGCTTAGAAAGTATTCGAAACAAAAACAGTTAATCATCTTGTGGCATAAAAAGCATTTGTACATTATACATAATTTTGAATATTTTCTTATATACAGTTGATTCCGCTTAATTGGGACACTGCTTAATCGGGACAGCCGGTTATTTGGGACTAATCTCAAAGAACAGATACCAAACTAAGAAGCCAATAGAAAATTTATATGTTTAATTGGGACAACATTCCACTTAATTGGGACAGTAATTTAAGATTACAGTACATATTAAAAGTTTGTTATGGAGCGTTGTCTTACAGCTTATTGCGCATGCGTTGCCTTACAGCTGATTGTGTATGCATTGCATCACAGGCAAGAGCAAGGACGTTCTTATTCAGTTACCATTACACCTCATACATGATGACTGTTTCGATTGTTGCATATTTTATTCACTCACAATACACATCACGCATGAACAATGCATAAACTTATTGTTGAAAAATTTAACCCTTGCCAAAATGCCAAGAAATGATTTGACACTTTCTAGCAAAATTGCTTTGCTAGATAGAATAAAAAGCCAGCCACCTAATACAAGTTATCGCCGGCTCGCTGAGATAACTGAAGTACCAAAATCTACCATATCGCATGTCTTACGACAAGAAAGTCAACTGCGTGAGGAATTGGTTTTACAAGAAGGACAAGCAGGAACATCCAAAAGGAAACACGAGGGGGAAGGATCCAGACGTTGAAGAAGCACTAGATCAATGGTTTTCTATTGTTAATGGCAAAGGCATAAATATCAACGGCCCGATATTGAAGGCAAAGTCAGAGGAGTTAGCTAAAAAACTGGTCCGCAATGATTTCAAAGCAACTGACGGGTGGTTATCGTGATGGAAAACAAGACACAACATTAAATTTTAAAAAGCACACAGTGAAAGGGGCAGTGCCGACAAGGAAAGTTCCGAACAGTGGAAAACTACGAAAATTCCTACTTTTTTAGAGAATTTTTGTGCTGATGACATTTACAATGCTGATGAAACTGGCCTCTATTATCGTGCTACGCCAGACGGTTCCTTATGCTATAAACACATTGCACTGACTGGTTATCAAAAGGTGATGGACCGCATTACTGTGTTATGCTGTACAAATATGTCAGGTACTGACAAACGAAAGCTACTGATCATAGGAAAAAGTGCTAGACCTCGATGCTTTAAGGGGCTGAGCATTAAGGTTTACCAGTGGAGTACCATGCAAACAAAAATGCGTGGATGACTTCTGAAATTTTTCGAAATTGGCTTACCAGTTGGGACCGAAATTTACAAGATAAAAAAAGAAACATTTTGCTGATTGTTGACAATTGTGCGGCACACAATTAGACAATCTACAATTTAAACAATCTACAAAGATATACAGCTGGAATTTCTTCCTCCTAATACCACATATATATTTATATATATTTAAATTAATACCTTGTAGGATATCCTTCAGCATGAATAATGGTTTCGAGTCCCCTTGGCATTGATTCAATGAAATTTGCTGTTACTGAGCCAAATATGGACTCCCCATTCTTGTTAAAGAACAGTTATTAATTATTAGAAATGTGCCTGGCTCTAACATTTTTATCAAGCGCTTCCCATAAATTCTTGATAAGATTAAGGTCGAGTGACTGAGGAGGAAATTTCATAAATTTTGGAGTGTTATAAAATATTCATGAGTCAACATGGATATTTTAGTAGTCATGTATTTAGGGCTGTATGATGGGGTCATTATCATGCATGAAAACATATTCATGGTCCAAATCCATTTTTTTACACTAGACCATAAATTATTTTTCAAAATATCAATGTATAGCAGATGATTCGTAATGCTATTAATGGACTAAATTAACGGCCCCAAAGCACTCATACAACCCCAGACTAATATACCTTCGCCTCCACGTTTCATTGTCGGCAGTAAATTCATTGGATGCATTTATGTATTTTTTCTCCCCACCATTCACCTCCCATCCGATCGAAAAATATTGAATTTACTTTCGTCTGAAAATATATGTTCTTCTAGAACTGTGAGCATTCATGTATTTTTTGGTGAAAAATAATAAACAGTAACTTATCACTGCTCTCACATACAAAGAATTTTTGTCTTGGAAACATGTCTATGGAAACCTTGTTTACTCATGCATTTCGAATTTTACTTAAGGATACTGCTCTTCCTATGTTTCCTAATTCTACTGTAAGCTTAGGAGCACTTACTTTCAAATCTTTTTTCAATAAGTGTGCCAGAAATCTTCTGTCAATGGATGTAAGTTCATATGGTCCTACTCAACAAGCTCTATTTCGCACTGTTCTAGAAGTAATAAACTTCTGAAAAATTGACTGCACAGTTGAACGTGGTCTGCTGATTGAAACTGAAATTTCACTGTACGATTTACCACCTTTGCGAAGACTTAAGATTAGTTCCCTTTCGGAAATGCTCATTTCATTATCCTTATGACCCACATTAAAATTTTACTTCAAAAGTCTTTAAAGTTTAAACTTATGATATTTAAAGTTACACCCAATCATTTTACATAACATGCAAGATAAATGATGTCAGTTATCAATGAAAAACTGACCAAATTAAAAAATGCTACCAAAATTTTGCATTTGTTTGAATGTACAAATACTTTTTATGAACCAATAAATCCCCAAATTTTAGTTTCCCACATATTTAAAAGCTAATTCAATATCTTTTCTGTATTGTTTTTGCACTCGTATTTGGGAAACATTTTTTGTTATTATTCCCTTTTGAACAGGTTTTAACAGAATTAGCAAGACTATAGTTTCTTAGACAAAACCACTCTTGTACAAATAATTTCTACACTCACTGTATTTAAGTAACTTAAAATCTGTTTTCACACATTGCAAACGGACTAACATGGAAATTAAAACTTAACTAAATATAAATTTAAGTGTACCATATTTATACATAAAACCAACAGATAGTTTTTATTGAAACCTAACTCTACATAGAAAATTATTTTGCTAATTAGCATAATTATATAGTAAAACAAAACAATAAATAAATAAAAATAAGAAAGAAAGAAAAGAATATTCCTTCTCAAAAGAGCTATTTAAAATACAGTACAAGATAGAATAATATAAAAGATAATTTTACCAGCTGAAAATAAATTAAATTCTTAGAGTGGCATTATAAATATGGCATTTGAACAGCAAATTTATTAAAACTTGATTTTTGAAATGAAAAAAGAGTAAGGTGACTGTAGAAGATAAACAATTACAGTGAAAGCTTATTTGGAAATAACGGGCTTCTAATAGCAGCAGTAGAGGGCTAATATGTATATAATGATGTCTATATTATGATATCATTATATACGTATCGCACGTATATAATGATGTCATCGGTCGTAATCGATCGCACCAAAAGTATGCCGATATAGTATATACTTTTGGTGCGACCACTTGCAACCAAAAAAGGAGGTGCACAACTACACATTATAGCAGTTTTATATAAAAAATTTAAACGTTTTGAGGCTACTATTTTTTGAGTTATGCGAGATACATATGTACATACGTAGGTACATACAGATGCCACAAAAAAATCTCTTCTGAATCCATTTTAAATCAGTTTTACAATTCATTTGGCTAAAAGAGACCTTTATTCTGTCCTTATGTCTAGAAGCCAAGCAAAAACATTGTTAAATTGCATTTGATAGAGGACAAAATGGAGATTTTTGTTGAAATATGGTACCGGAATTTTTCGTGATTACAATACTTCCTTTACTTCGTACAAGGAAGTAAAAAGGATTTCATGATCGTAACATGCCAAAACAAGTTCAGAACAAGGTAACTAAAGAGTCTTTTTTATCTTATACAAAATGGCATAGCCTATAATGAAAATATATGCATTTTTAACATATGCAAAACAACAAGTTTTCAATAATAAACAGATGTATATATATTTGGCACGGTTTGTGCCTGTCAAGCTCTAAAAGGTCTTTAAAAAAATATCCCAGTAAGTAATCTCATTAGCTTTGGAAGTGATAAAATTATACCATTATGATGGGCACTAAGAATGGGTCCAGTCACTGCTAAAAAAGGAGTACCACCAGTATTTATTATAGGATCTGTTTGCCATACTTTTGCATTATGTGGTAGCCATTCAGTCATAATACTACCATCATATTTACAAACATTTATAAAAGATATGTCTTATTTTTTTCTGCAGCAGTAAAAGATTAAACATGTTCAAGATGTTATAAATATCGATAAGCTTAAAAATCTTTAAATTACCACAAAAGCATAGGTTATCCTGTAGCAATGTAATAAAAATTACTATTGAAAAATGAGATGCATTAGTTTTTTTTTTTTTTTATTTTTTTATTTTCTGTCTCAATTAAAGAGGGACAAAATTGATAATGGAGAGAATATTTACAGCTTTTAGGATAAGTACGGCTGAAAATAAGTTTCCTGAATATTGAATTAAAGTCTAGGGATTTTAAATTATACTTACTTCATTCAGTGGTTTTAAGTAAGTACAAAAAATGTAAAAAAAATCATAAAACTTTGAATAAACTATATTTGGGAGGCTATTGTATGGCTTTATTAAACTCAACACCACTTGGCGACAGTGAAAGCAGGTTTAAAAATGATTGTTTAAAAATCTTGTTAAATTTTGTGTTTAAATCAGAAAGATGATGATGAAATTATCACTTGTCTTAGTGCATTTGACACAATAGCAGTATATGATCATACAAAATTGCCATCTTCAATTTTCCATTTAGTAATACAGTTCCTTCACCTTATTTTTGAAGAGAAACTGGACTCTTCTAGAATTTAGATAAAGAATGGAGATCATTTCATTTAAGTCAAGAGTTAAGCTATTTTACAAAATCATCCGTAAGTTTGGTATCTATTAGGTAATGGAAAAGATGTCTTTAAATAAGTCTAAACATGAGATTTTTCTAAACTTTACAAATAGTGTATCTATTTTATCTCACTCTCTAGCTAATATTGAAAGAATTCATATAAACCACATAAAAACAAAAGGCACAAACTCACTTAAGCCTTGAAAGATTGACTAATAATAAAATAGGTCATTAAAAGATCTAATCAAATTTTTCTATACATAGAAACCTAAATTAGAACTGGTAAAAGAAGTCACACAAGGCACTTACCTAAAAGATACAAAGAACATTTGAAAAAAAAAAAAAAAAAACTTCAAAAATTAAATGTGGAGGTAATTAAATGGCATAAAAATTCTAATTAGAATTAATTAAAAGATATTTATGAATGTTAATATTTATCTTATTTGTGTTGCTATGCTGTATTATGAAAAATAGTCCCCGCCTCCTAGGTTTATCAAAGTTGCAATCTAAGTTTTTTTTTTTTTTTTTAATTTGTGCCACGATTTGAGCTCTACCACAGATATGCAAATTCCTGCATAGCAGCAATGCTTTGTAGAACAGGATATTGATGTAGCATATAAATTCAGTGAAGTTTAATAAGTAAATATGGCACATTATCAACATTAATAAATAATACTGCATACTAATGGATAATATACCATGGTTTCTCTTGAGTTTCGAAGTACTAATAGCATCACCACCCTTATACTTGGAAGCCATTGTTAATGAAACTCAAAAATTTGTGAGTATGAGAGCTGTGACAAAATGTTGATAACAAGAGAATGATGTCTTGTTAAAAGCAAAACTGATAGAAATTTAACAGGAAAATCTATGTACATGGTGAAGGGAGATAGTGAAGATGTTCTGGCCACAGATATCTGTGGTCTTCTCTTGACATTATTACAACCTCTCATGGGGAGAAAATCAATTAAGAAAAGAACAATTCTGAGGAACGACCTGTAAACTAAAAATGTACAGGAGGATATGAAAGTGCCCTTTTTCATCCACCTCCTCCCACTTGGCTAGACGAGTTAGGAACGTGTATGCACATGTATAGTCATGATTACTTTGGGAATACAGTGCTTAGCTTAGCTTGTGCTTCATTTGGCCATATGCTGTTTATCACTTGACATACATTTGAAACTCCAAAGAATTTTTTTCTTCTGCTTTAAACAGCAAATACAGGATTATGGTTGCAGTTTAGTTTCACTTCTTACTCAATCAAGTATTTTCATATGTTTGAAGTAACAAAATGGTAATTTCATAAATACAAAACAATATTTTTAAACATTTAAATATATTTCAAACTTTCAATACACTTCAAAAACATACAGAAAAAGGGGAAAAAGACATATTCCTTCAGAGGTACATTTTCTAAGACAGCGATAAAACTTACCCAAGATGTAAAAAGAATCAACAGTCCAATTCCAGTAGGGAGAACAAACACCCATAGACCAGTACGATCATACTCCACACCTAAAGCAACACCAACAGCACCAGCCATATGAGTAAAAGATTGAACAATATTCGGTAATTTCGCCATAGCAATAAGTGTCACCCACACAGAAAGGATAGCCGAATAGAAGTCACAAAATTGAAGTACACTTAATCGAATTAAACAGTAGGAATACACTTCAGCATCACAAGCATGATAAAACTGTAAAAGGATAAAAAAGATGATTAATTTTATTTTTATTAATAATTACCAAATTCATGATTATATATTCAAATTAAAGATCTTTTATACTATTAAAATTTAAATCTTTTTACTATTAAATTTAAATCTTTTATACTATTAAAATTTAAATATTATTATTTAAAGAAAACTTTTATACTATCGGTTTAAAATAATTCAATTCCAATAATAAACAATCCATTTGAGCAAATCACATTTAATCCATCTACTTTGTAATTTTTGTAAAGAGGAACCGAAAAGACATTCTATACAAGATACCAATAAGTAGTAGGTCCTACATAGATTTAAGTAAGCTTAAAGATTTCAGAACATGACACTAAAAAAGTTATTTGAAGGAAAAATATTAATTTGTATGTGTACTCGCCCCAAACCAAGAGCTTTGGTATTGCCAAAATGGCAGTACCATGGCAATAAATGCCTGTCTCCTTGATGCAATAGGTCCTCAAATTTTGGCTTGTTTTATTTAAGTACATGGCAAGTTTTCTTAAATAAGTTTCAATACATTTGTGATTAGTAACTTTCTTCATAAATCTTTGGAATTAATGGAACAGTCAAACAGAAGCTATCAATTTTCATCATAATTAAAAAGTACCATTAAAAAAGCTGAGAATGTTCCCAATTCCTAAATAATAAGTTGGCATTAGTCAAATTTTGCAAAGAACTGGATACATGAAAAAGAGTGCAACAATTCAGAAGAGAGTGAAAAAAGGAGAGAAAAATGAGTATCGCTGAATTCAAGAACTCTTTCATAAAGAGGAAAAATAATGCAAGTTGTGCAATTTTTTATGACAAATTTTCATACACTCTATCAAAAGACCCCCCCCCAAAAAAAAAACCTTTCATGGTGATATTTCCTAAAAGAGAGCAGCTAGAGTTTTGTTATGTACCCAAAGGAGAGACCTTTCATTTATTACTTATCTATATTTTATCATATTTATTATTTATCTATATTTTGACAACTGGAAAGTGTTCAGAAGCAGCTACTTTTAATAACTGCAAAGTAACCACACCATGGGGAATGCTCCAAACCCTGAAACAGGTGCCATAATTACAGAATAAAATGCATACAGAGTTCTGCCAAATGATGCTATAACATGCAACAAAGCACAGTGGTCAACTCCTGTCATCATTTGTTATTCATATGCTGCAGAATCTGGCAAGTAGCAAAAAGTAAATATGCCTTTGAAGCTTTAATGCAGGCCATAGCTATGCTGTATCAGTAACAGCTAAGTAAGGTTCTTGAAAATACTGACTATAGTCTTTTAAAAGATTATTTACTTATCCTAGACATTTAATTACAAAATATCATACAATAAAGCATATTATTGTATGCAAAAAAAAGCTTTAACTTGATTGGGGGGTGAGAAGCCTGTAGAAATAAAATCTATAATTTAATGCAAAACTCATACATAAAATCAAAATTCCAGCAGTAAAACATTTTAATGTTTTATAAAGCAAAACGTTCCAAATTTTTGACTAAATATAATGTTATTACTATCTATAATTACAAATGGTAAGGATTTTTGTTTTACAAGTGCTACATTAAAGTTTTTCACTAGGTAGACTATAATCCCCACAACATAGTTTTACTTTATTCTAAAAAGCTCTGTCAATTATAGTGTTTGCATATGTCTAAGCCTATACTCACGTTTTGAACAGCTTTGTATAATGCAAGGAATAATAATAATAATAATAATAATAATAATAATAATAAAACAATTATTTATTTTAAGCACACCACCATATCAGAATGGTGATTAGATAGGGATTTGATATATGCTAGTAAAAAAACCAATTAAAAAATGCTATTAAGTGATTTTCTAAGAAATATAAAATATATTCTGATTAACAAAATCCTTATTAATCAGAATATATTTTATATTTTTACACTTTTATATATTCACACTATGAAAGAAATTAAAATTTGCAGCCCATATAGGTTAGATTTAATTTATAAATTTACTAAGGAAGAACAAATACATGTTAATGATATATTAAATTCACATGGACATAAGTTAGGAAAATATTCAATTCACTGTTAAGGTTAAGTGAAACAAATTTATGCAAATATATGGTAGAATGTACTATATAGAAGAATCTGGATGTTATAACAAGAAGCATTATTTATGCCAAAAAAGTTATAATAGTGCAATACATGAAAACTTCTAAAGATGGACTACTATAAAAGTAAGCTGTAATAAAAAGTTATTATAAAAAATCCTGAATGCAAATACATAATACTTAAAACTGTTCATAAATTTAAATTGAATAGTGTATGTTATTGCCTAATTTATATCATGCATATTATGATTAAGACAAAGGGATGACACACAGCATAGAATTTTTATTTTCGTGCAAAAATATTTCTTACCGTGGATGACAACATTGTGGCAAAATAAACAAAAGCTTCAGTAAAATATTTCCTAGATGCACTCAAGATTATTGCTGGTATGAAGAGCAAATTACTTAAGGTAAGTAATAAAACATCTAACAGCAGTTCAGAATCTGACAAAGCTGTAGAATTATCAGTACAACCCCATCCTTTCCACCCTATAATGCAATGTGAAGAAATATTAGTACACTATATAAAAGAAATATTAACACACAAATAAGAAGAAAATTTTAAAGCAAATGAAAAGAACCTTGGAAATCTTGTAAACAGATATTAATACCTTTATTATTATTTTTAAACAGAGAAAAATCGAAATATGTTACTTGAAAGTACTACCATTAACTGATAGTATATGCTGATCACTTTTAAAGATGGTATTTACTCTTTTAATTAAATTTTATTTAAGCATGCTGATAAATTAGAGCAAAGATTTGTTTGTATTTGTTCAGCATTACTGTATTTTTGGTTATATCTGTTCTATATTTTACACCATTGTAAATTTACTTACGTTCTTTTTGAGGTTTGTCCTCTTGCAAATATTTGTATATTTAATAGCATATTTACATGTGTAATTGCTTTATTATGTTTTACACCTTGAGATTTGATGTGTTTGACCATGTGTAGCATTTAAACACTTCTGACACTGACTTCTTCACACACTTCTGACAGAATTGATTTCATAAATTCGGTGAATTATTGCACAATTGACAAAGCAACAACTTTTGGAAATCTCTTGAATCGTCGAGAACACATGCAAGTAAGTGAAAAGGGGAAAAACAAATGAAATTTCTTTTAGACATCTTTCATAAAGCATGTAAAACAAGGCTGATGCAGCTGAAGAATCTAAAATTCTAAACTGGTCTGTGTAACTATTTCTTTGTTCCCCCCCCCATGGCAGACACTTGCCTATAATGACATCGGCCACTCCTAAGGCCAGAAGTGGCGGCCATTTTATTGTGAAGGCACCTAATAGGCAGCCACTGTTACCTCCTACTCAATATTGCAGTCAGGCTCCTCTAACCACTATACCATCTGGGCGACGTGTAACTATTTCAAAACACAAGCATTTGTCATCTAATGCATTGCTTCATCTAATATCTACTTGTCAAGATTCTCTCCTTTTTTTCCCTTCTTTTACAGGGTATTTTCTCTATGGAGATCATTTCAATTTTTCTCATCATTAGCCTTCAAGATGTGCTCATAAAAGAGTTCAATTATTGAGCATTGTACACATGATCAGATAATGTATCAATGTATGAAGTCTGTTGTTGTAATAATATGCATACTTTAACTTCAAATTTCATTATAATTGCATTCACTTTTGCTAACTCCAGAATGCATGATACTTGTGCTATTCTGAATTACCATGTGGTCTTATTATGCATTGCCTACAGACTGCACTTTGACTGCTGCCACAGTTTCAATTTCTATTTTCGAATTTTTAGGTTTTGGCTGTGTTCAAACAGTTACATCAAAACCTGCTCCTTTGGAGCATTAACATGGATTTTATTTCCAATTGTCAGTAGGGATAAGGTCTTAGATTTCATTCTTTGAATGGAGGAACTAAAAACTGAGTAAAGAAAATCTCCTTCTAATAATGGCTCCAAAAGTCTGGGTCACACGACTACTTTAACTGAATCATAAAAGGTTTTATGGCTTTTGCTATTTTTTATTAAGCAGTTAACATACAATAATCATAGAAATCCTCATGTGGCTTTTATTTCAGCAACTGTTGGTAGTAGACATATATTTTCAATTACGGAAATGATTTAAATAAAGAAAATTTTTATGTTATACAATTTTTAAATTAAAAAAAATATAAGAAATTATAAAATCTAACTGTTTATATGGCCTTGTAGACCTCATAGTTATGTTTGAAGGGTTGTGTTAGTTGATCTGACTCCTATATTTTAATGAAGCAGTGCAGAACGGTATTTGTTACATATATGTGGCAACACACTAGTTGCTGGTCGAACTGAAGTGAAGTAATTGTCAGTTGATGTTGCTTTGTAATAAATGATGTGCTATGTGAATGTCACTTAATTACTGTCCTGTTGTAATGTCACTTAATTATTCCTCAAGCAATATTAATAAGAATATAACATGGCGTAGTCATGTGGAGTAGTATTATAACTAATTGCCAGGCAATCCCTTTGGTTGTTTTTCCTCTCAGCAGACGCAAGATGGAATTTTGTCGCTCACCGCAAGGCCTAAGTTTCAATGGCAATGTGACCAAAAACTGCTGCAGATTCAAGCAGCTGTTCCAGATTTATATGAAAGCGCCAGGAAATGCTTTAAAAAATTCAGATGTCAAAGTCGCTTTATTTTTAAATGCTGCCGGTGAGGAAGCAGTTGCAGTGTTCAACCCGCTCAATCTTTCAACAGGAGATCAGGGCAACTATGAAAAAATGCTTGAAATGTTTGAAGCTTTCACGATGCCTAGAACAAATGTCGTGGTGGAGAGATTTTTATTCAATAAAAGAAAACAAGAAGAAGGGGAACTTTCTGATTGTTTCACGACTGACCTGAAAAAAACTTGTAAAATCTTGTGAATTTGGTGTGCAGGGTGACTCTGCCATACGTGATCGCATTGTCCTTGGAGTATCAGATGACAGTTTACAGGAGAGGATGTTGCGAGAAAAAAATCCGAGTTTGGAAAAAGCAATTGAATTATGGAAAGCTGCTGAATTGAGCAAAGTTCGAGCTCAAATGTTAACCCTTTAACTGTCAAGTTATTTTGATGATTTGGGTACACAAATTGTCAAATTTTTTTATTGGAAAAACCAAATGTAGTTGAAATAAACATCTCCCGATATATAATCGGGTATGACAATACGATGCACTCAAAAAAAAAAATTACCCCGAGAGATACTCGGGCGTGACATTTTCGAACACCAGTGCTATCTCGGGCATGACAGTTCAAAAGGTTAAAAGAACACAATGTTGACAGCGTAACAAGAGGGAAAGTGAAGCAACATCAGGCCAGAGGAGCCAATGCAGCCATAGCAGTGAGGAAGCATAGAGGATGGCATGATGACGCTTCAAATACTGAGACGTTTTCATGTAAAAAATGCAACAGACATCACGTTAATGGACCAGGTCTGGCATATGGGAAAAAAATGTTTCAACTGTGGCAAACTACGTTACTTTTCAACTGTGTGCAGACTGAAGCATATCCAAAATGTTTCTCAGCATGATAACGCAGATTTACACTCATGTCCATAAATTAAGGATAATGCAAAATCAGGCAAAGGAAGAGTTAGAAGCAAAACAAATTTGACTTATTTGTAAAGCTTATTTATTAAACAAAAGGTGAAGAGCAAAAAAAAGATGCTATATGTTTGATATTATTAAAACAATTAGCAATTTTTTCTCCCTGGAGCAAATTACAAAAAAAAAAAAAAAAAAAAAAAAAAAAAAAAAAGAACCCTATTTACAAAAAAACAATATTACATGGTTAGTATAATTGTTAATACATTGTATGTTTCCCAGACGATGCAATACAGTTTGTACAACGCCTAGGCACGCTGAGTATCAAATTATCGATCTGATCTTGGGAGATATTACACCACTCAAAAAGCAATGCTCTCCGAAGTTCGGGTAGACATGTAGGAGAAGGTTGACGGGCTGCAACTCGTCGGCCAAGCATGCACCACACGTGCTCTACTGGATTCAAGTCTGGTGAGAATGCTGGCCAGTCCATATGGGTGATATCCTCTGATTGAATGCATACACTTACGATGTTTGCATGGTGAGGACGGGTGTTGTCATCCATTAACACAAATTGTGCGCCCACGGCGCCCCGAAACAAACGTACATGTTGTTCCAGAATGACGTCCCGATAGATATGGCTTGTCATGGTTCCAATTTGAACATCCGGGTCAGTTCAGGAACCCAGAACCACCCCAAACACGCACTCCTGCACCACCGTAACGGTGTCGTTCAATGATGTTTTCTTGGTGGTAATGGGTACCTGGAGCTCTCCATATGAAAGTCCGGCAACATGAAAGTCCGGACTCGTCGGAAAACATCACAGAAGCCCACTGTTGCAGTGTCCACAATGCATGCTCTTTACTCCAGGCTAACCGCAGGCGACAGTCAGTTGCAGTAAGTGGAACGCATCTGACAGGTCTACGAGCATATAGACCAATCTGTCCTAAGCGTCTGTACAGGGTCTGCCTTGAAATTGTCATAGGAGTGGCTGAAGAGAGCTGACGAGACAGGTCTGAGACTGTGCTCAGCCTGTTTTTTTTGGCAGTAACTGCCAAATACCGGTCCTCATGCAGTGTTGTAACTCTGGGACGACCTGTGCTGTAACGTCTACTCACATTACCATCATCTTGGAATCGTTGCCAAAGCCTGGAAATGACACTCTGGGCAATTTCAAGCTCGTCTGATACTTCCAGTTGGGTATGCCCACATTCCAGACGGCCAATAATTCTACTACGTAAAATATCATCGAAATGCGTCCTTTGTGTCATAAATTGCATTGCACTGAAATGCTTATAAAGCGCCTGCGAACAATTTTACCTCTTTGCCTTTATTCCTTATATACCACTCTCTTACACTCTCATCATTGTGACGTACCACCGGTGTCATCTGGTTACTTCCTGAAATTTGCATATGATTCTTGAAGATGTGTGTAATGATTTTACAGGTGATATATTTATTTTAGAGTTTGATTTCCGCGTGACTCCGAATTGTCCTTAATTTATGGACATGAGTATATATAGTGAATCTGATGATGAATACTTCGTGAATTCCATAAATGGTAAAAAAACTAAAAGTGTGTGCTCAACATCATCTACAAAAAGAGTGGACTAAAACTATAATTGTTGAAGGGACAACTGTGACTTTTAAGTTGGACACAGTGTCTGAAGTGAACGTTTTGCCTGTGAAAATTTACAAAACACTGAGTGCTAAGAACTCTAATCTTATTTTAAAGAAGTGTAATGTTGTACTAGAAGTATTCGGGGGGGGGGTCCAAGGTTAAACCTCATGGGTTGTTAATGTTACAATGCTCCTCAGATGGTGAGGATCATACTCTAGAGTTTTTAATTGTTTCTAGCAAGCATATACGTCCATTATTAGGAATTGATGCATGTGTTAAACTTAATTTGATTCAGTTTATAAATAAGGTTGGAATATCAAATAAAGGTAAGTTGGATCAGTATACAACTGTTTTACCT